CAATACATTTAAGGTTGGTGTCTTACGCCCACATCGACATAGTCTAGGGATTAGGAAGCTTGCGTCAGATCCTACCTCTCGAGGTCAACTTGGTCTTAGAGGGATGAAGCATCCGTAAAGGAATACGGAGATACTCGATAAAACGTTCTTCCCGCTCTGGAATCAAACTCGGGTCTTTTAAGTGCGACAGCGAGGCGTCTAACTGCCACAATAGAGACTGCGGCCTTTTTTACCTCAGCAAGAAAGAAAAAAAAAGCAGTGCACGCATCTTTAGGGATAGGGAGAGAGAACCGGGGTGAACTCAACTCCGGCCTCTTGACTTCTCAGAGATCTATGGCCAAGTTTCACCTCCAGTTGAAAGTGTGCGTTTTGCTTCTACCATAACTTTAAAAGGCACTAAAACGGGACCTTTGAAGAACGGGCCCTCCAACCTCTGCATTGTATCGCATCTTTTGTAAATGCAGTCAAAACCTGTACACCACCTTTGAATACAGCCTCAAGTATAGCGATTACCTGCTCATATAAAATAACCACATAGATCAGACAATCAACTCGGGATCCCTTTAGTTTTATGGTATCGTGTTGCTATTTATAGAGAAACCGATTACAACACCATGGTACAGATTTAAGCGCAAGTTTGGCGTTATCTGTGCCTGTGTGCTTCAGCTCCTGACCTCACCACAGGGCTTTCATTATGGCGGCAGTAGTTTTGTGATGATCATTGCAGACGTAGTTTATGTGAACCTGTTGCTTCTGTGAAGTGCACACTAGGGAGGACATAACTGAATTCATATAACGTGGAACTTTGATGACCAGTGGCCTTTAAAAGTTTGAGAATAATTATTATAGTTCCAGTGTACTGTATAGTTATTTTGATTTTAGGAGTGTGTGGATTTCAATCTGTGTGCACCTAGATTCATGACATAATTTGTTTTGTTTCAGTTCAGTAGGGGTGTGCATTGCTGTATTAGACAATTTTGATAGTTTTGTGGATAATATCTTCCATCCGTATTACGAAACGCGAGTGACAGTGTTATGTTACCATCTCTGTCAATGGATAACACTCCTGGGTCTTCTCTATCATATTATTTTCCCGCCATTCTTTTATAATATTTGTCCGTCTCGCTTTTTCACAAAACAAAACTTCATTGTATTGCGTCTCTGTTATTCAAATTGTTTGTTAGTGTGTGTTGAATGATTTAAGAAAGGGTAATAATATTATCGGAGAGAACCGATTTATAGGAATATATAATCGGTGAAAGTAAATTCTTGAACTTAAACGGCACGGCACGGCAAGCCATCAAGCCTCCCCACCGAGCTAGCTGTATCACAGTGGAGTTGGACGCTGAACCACGTATTATATAACGGTGTAAGATTGAAAGGGGCGTTCAACCTGTAGATAATCACCTATCTGCCTTTTGAGTGGTTGGAGGGTGCCACTGGCAGGTCCTACTTCTTTCCCTCAGGTGTTTCCATTTGTCTTACTTATCCCCAGCATTAAATTACATTTATTGTATAGATGCGCTTCTCTTTGTACAAACCTACAAACAAATATATCTTCTCTCCAACCCCCTTTTGCCCTTATTCTTGAACAATTGAATGGCTAGAAAAGGGTAAGGGGTGGGGAGGTGGATAGTTCGTTGTTCCCCCACCAAATAACTCAACTCTCCCTAGTGATCGCATACTCCTCATGAGTCACTGCATCTCCGCCGTACGGGTGCTATCTGCTCGTCCTAATAACTGAACCTGGTGTCTAGCTAGCTCTGTTCCGTGGGTGGTTGGCGGGTGCTCAGGTGTGATTTACTCAGTCTTTGCTATCGTTAAACATCTGTCGTCCTGGTCTCTCCTCCTTCGGTGCATCTTGCTCTCTTATACATTTTGTGAAACCTCCTTTTTGTGTTTGTTACTCTCTTGTAACACCTCTCATCTTCGGCACTTAAATACTTAAATGACGTTAGTGTGTTACAAGTGCTGTGCAGTTTTACTTTTAAAAAGACACAAAAATGCCCTGTTCCTTGCTGATATGCGTTTATGGTTTGCTCCTTTAAAAAAAAAAATCAAACATCGATCGTAAATCTCTCCTATCTCTTGTTGTTGTCGGGGTTATCGTTGATGTTTTTGTTGTTGCTGTTAATGATGACATTGTTGTTTGTTATTGATGTTGTTGTTGCTGTTGTAGTTACTTTATAGTAAACCTCCAATGTTCGATGGGTGTTTGATCCTTCTTTTCTACCTAACATTGTCATTATCTCATCACATCCCTCTTTTTAAAAAATATTTTAAAGTCTAGTAAATACCCTCTCCAAACTTCGGTGGGTGTTTGATGTGAACTCTGAATTGGTTTACTCCTTCTTCCTTGTCAAACATTTATCGTCATTACCCCTCCTCCTTATTTTCTTTGAATATTACCCTCCAATAATACCTTTGTTTTCTTTGGAACCTATTTTATGGGGCCTAATCGTGTTGCAAGTGCCCTGAAACTCTAAACTAAACTAGACTGATATCTTTAACGGCCACGTGTCTAAGACAATCGACAGTACAAATGACCACTCTCTTGCAACCGCCCGACCCCCCTAGCGCTTCTGTTTATTTCAATTTTATTAATGACAAGCTGGGTACCCGTTAGAAGAACGGAATGAAACAAAAATTGATCGTCAAGTCATTGTAGAAACAATGCACACTGCTTGTGAACGGAAGCTCACTTGTTCACAAAGGCGTCTTAGAAGACGGACTTTCCCGAGAATAGAATTAAACAAAACCAATGAAAAACTGAAAATCAAACTACAGTGACAACAGACTCCTTATATAACTGTGCAAGCTTTTAATGATTTTGAACCCTCATTATTTTTGTTAAATTCGAAAGTTCAGTGGTTCGGAAGGTTTAGACGACCAAAGTAACGAACTTTTTTCAAATATAATATGCTTGCTGGGTTCCCTTTCGATGAAAGGAATGATCGGTGCATTAACATCAGCTGAAAGTCATTGGCCTACACTATAATTTACACTCTACTGGAAAGGAGCAAAAATCTTGAGAGATGCAAAAAATTAGAAGGTCTAGATCTATACTCTCAAAACAAAATGCGCTTCGCGAAATATCACTTCCGACACGTCTGATGTGAAGGACAGCTACGCAGATTTGTTTCGTTTCTCAGTGGAATAATCACAAAGGCCAAAGAAGGACTGGAACTTTTTGTCAAATATGTTGTTTTTAGATTCAGGAAATGAATAAATCAAAAAGCGGGCTTTAACATAGGGACCTATCTATCTCTTTGCAGGTACTTCCCGACTTTCAACTCTATAGCTGTCGTCGTTTTATGGGAAAAGTGACACATGCGTTCCCAAGTTGAAAAATATTCAATAGATATAGATACTCTCCAAAATGATGTCCATTTTCTAAGACGACCACTTTATTTCATCGGCAAATTAATACTTCTCGATGTGTGGCCCGCCCTTCAAATTGTCTCACTTTGTCTGGTAGGCCTCGGAAATTCTTCCAAGATGGAGACTGTTAAAGTTACATGTAAACTATAACGTATGTTATTCTGTCTGTCTGCATGTCTTTCTGTCTGTCTGTCTGTCTGTCTGTCTGTCTGCCTGCCTTTCTTCCACTATCAATCTATCTATCTATCTATCTATCTATCTATCTATCTATCTATCTATCTATCTATC